AAGCTTTGGGCGAAAAAGTCATGTTGTGACTACAAAGTGTCCGTGAAGCGCAATGGCTTCGGGGAAGTCATCAGGTGACTGGAGAACGGGTGTTGTAGCACCCCTGTTCAAGAAAGAAGACCATAAAGAGTGCTTCAATTATCGGCGAATTAGTTCATTGAGCATCTCAGGTAAAGTTTATGCAATGGTGCTAGAAAGAAGATAGCTGAATGTGTGACTCAGAAATACAAGGAGAGCATTGTGATTTTAATAAGAGTCGAAGCACCTTTGATGAGATTTTCGCCTCACGTCGGATTGTCAAGAAATTGTTTGAAGTTTATGCATTCGGTTTACATATGCATCGTTGACCTGCAGCAAACTCATAACCAGTCCAGCTCAGCAAGCTATGGATGAACATTAAAATGCGGGATCCACAGCCAGTTGCTATGAGCTATTCAATCACAATCATTTGATTACAGGTGCTGCGTCAAAGTAAATTAAGTTAATGCATAAAAGTAAACATTGATCGGTGTTGATTATGATCGGTTTACTAGAATGTCTGTTTTCCATATCGCAGTTAAGAAAAGTAACATTTTTCTGTCACTACTGAATTTAACGGCGCACAGTCTACGGATAATGGCATATAGGCGTGTGTCCGGAAAGGATTTCGTTGAGCTCTGTCCAACGATGCAGTTTTGAATACCCACACCGCAGGTGCTCAAATGCAGAGGAGCAGTGGTAGCTTATATGATCCTCTAGGCCGTAACAAGCAAAGGGATGGTTATTGTCTGGAGCAGTTCATAGAAGGGAGCTCAGCGTCTGTTGAATACGACAGCCTCAGAACTGAAACTTGTTCAAAAGCTACGTAAAAGCAATTCATTGGTCGCAGATGCGTTGAATAGCAACACAAATAGTGGAATTACCTTGTTCATGCAAACTCGTCTTTTCCTCGTTAAGGAGTATTAGGGGAAATCAGGTATTTTTAATAATCTGCAATTAGAAATTCTTTTAATAAAATTTATAGTTAACATTTTACGCCCTTTATAAGTTGACAATCAAATTGATTAGGAAGATTTCACCCTCACAAGAGAAATGCATCAAAGAGCACGGTCATAGGTTATCATAAGCCTCAGAGTTCTGACATGAAAAACTTCCAAAGCCTATGCTGTGTCGATTGTCAGCACGTCAAAACATGCTTCCCCCATCTTGGCTGGTTGTGATAGGATGTAGTAGCATGAATTTCCCGTTCAATGGAAATAACGGTTTGTCAACATCGTCACGAGCCTTTTTCAATACATCGCTAGATGATGGCCTCACCAGGATTCAGAAAGAGTCTGAGTTGAAACTATGGACTTTCATTTCTAAAGAACAAAGCCAACTACGTCGACTGACCTAATGTTCCCTAGAATGCGAGGCTTTATCTAAATCAGAACCTCAAATACTGTATTTAATCAATTGAAATGCAAGTGAACCTGAAAACTTTGCTGCAAAATCGTTGTTTAACCTTTCAGCGAGAAGGCAAGAAGCAACGACCACCTCTAAGGTTCCATTAGTGGACTTCCGTTAAACGAAATTCCCACACAATTATTGATAATTATTGATGATCTCTCTGAAATTCCGCCACATATGTCGTGTTTATCGCCTCAGAGAAGCCACTCTTGCCGGTCCGCATTGATTGGTTGCCAGTTTCTGCAATAAAAAGCCAGACCTCAGAGGCCAACCGCGTCCAGAAGTTTTCTACCACGACAT